GATAAATAGATTTGTGCATCTCCTTTAGAGAGACACCAGCCACGTGATTTGGCTGCTTTGCATAAATGGCAATGAATAAAGCAGTGTGTGTGTGTGGGACACGATCTGCCCCACATTGGGACAGGTGAGGACATTTTCTTCTCCATTCCTTGGCTTTCCCTTCTCTTGCTGGTTAGCAGAAAACTAGTTGTGGAGGACTCTTGAAGACTTGAGCAAAGGGGTCCTGGGCAAAGCAGGTGCTTTCCAGAACCCTGGGGATGCTACTCCACGTCTGCAGTGGGCTGGAAGCACCACCCTACTCAGGAGCTCGGCCTTGACCTCCCCGCTGTGGTGCAGAGCAGGTGACAGACCTTTCTTTCTCCAGTTCATACTGGCAATAAGCAGAACAAGCAGCCTGGAGCAAGAAGGGGCACACAGGAGGCAAGAGGGGAGCCCGTGGGTTTGTTAGCTCCTTGCAGACTACATTGTACCCAGCCACTTCCCTCCTGGTCCTTGCAGGGGATGGAGGCATGTATCCTGCCTTACCCGGTCACTCTCCGAGGGCATCAGGGCTCTGTCACTCAGGAAGGACTGTCGTAGAGCCAGTGTGGGTGGTGGTGCGGAGGGCAAAGGATGTGTTGCCTTCCAGGACAGCCTCCCTTCAGAGGAAGCTTCCTCTGGGTCACAGGCTGTACGGACCATACTGTCTGTGCTGCCCATCCCCATAGCCTCTGTCTGTCTACTCCGCACGGTACTGATGTGGTGGAGCAGGCACTGAGGCTACCTGTGCCTTTGCTTAATGTCTCTGCTCCGGGTGCAGCAGGAGATGGGGGCTCGGGCACAGCAGCCCTGGCCTGGCTGCCTCATGCCATTCCCTGGCTGCGCCGGGCAGGCCCTTGTTCTCGGGTGTGTGGAGTTGGGGTGGGTGTCTCTGGCAAGGTTGGCTCGCCTCCCTCCCCCCCCACCACTGCTGCACCCTAGGCATCCCTAGAGAAGGACTCAACTGCCTACTGCGTGGCAGGCAGTGAGGTGATGACGTCCCTGCCTGAGGCCAGGAGAGGACCTGGTGCATCCTCCTCTTGCTAGCCCTGCCCTCGCAGTCCTGGTCCCCCGATGGGATGTGGCCTGGGTGGTGTGAGCAGCTTTGCCGGGGGAGACAGGAGGGACACGGGTGCTGCTCTGCACCCCTCCTGTTCACAGCTCACCAGTCTCTCCGTGTCTGTGCCCACAGCATGTCGAGGGATGCTGTGCGGGTTCGGGGCGGTGTGCGAGAGGAGTTCCACCGACCCCTCCCAGGCCTCCTGTGTCTGCAAGAAGACAGCTTGCCCCGTCGTGGTGGCTCCTGTCTGTGGTTCCGATTACTCCACCTACAGCAACGAGTGTGAGCTGGAGAAGGCCCAGTGCAACCAGCAGCGGCGGATCAAAGTCATCAGCAAGGGACCGTGTGGTGAGTGCGATGCAGGCTCTCCTGCTTTCAGGAGGCATGGGGGGCTTGGCCCAACCTCATCTCATTACCGCAGCGCTGGTGATATCCTGGGGGATGGGGACAGGTCTGAGGGGAAGGGACACTGGGAGGATCACCAGCTCTGCCTTGGTGATCGGCCAAGTTTGACAGAGTTCTAGTAGAAGGTGCGCTGCCCATGGCAGAGGATGGAACTAGATGGTCTTTAAGGTCCCTTCCAACCCAAACCATTCTATGATCCTATGACAAGCAGGCAGACCGACCTCCAAAGGCCATTGAAGAGGTGCATGGCACAGTGGGGAACAGTCTTCTGCCTTGGGCAGCTCTGCCTGCTGCACCACGCTGCCTCCCTAGAGTGGGTCACAGCTAGAATTTGGAAGGACCAGACGAATGCACAGGCTGGGTGGGCTGATGGAAGCCCGTCCCCAGCCTGGCATTCACCAGCTGCGAGCAAGGAGCTGTGTAAATGAGACCCCAGTATCCTCATCTCAGAGTAAATTAACTTGACCTTTCTCTCACGCAGCGCTCTGGCTTGCAATACATCTGCACCCGGTTCTCCTGCTGGGGCTCTTGTCAGAGGGGAGTGCACTGAGTGGTGTATTTAAAATAATAGTAATTTTAATAAGTGACAAATAACGGGGGGAAAAAGGCAAAAAAACCCTGGCAAATAAATTTTGGCCCTTCCCCATCAGTGAGGAAATTGCTCCTTGAGCTCTTCCTCTAATTACAGTTTGCAGGAGGTGCCTTGAGGACCCTTGTTTTGCTCACTGGCTGAAGCAAGAGGATCTCGGGGAGCATGTGCAGGGAAGGGAGCTCGCAGCAGCGAGGCTGAGAGGTTGAGAAAGGAAGGGCTGTGCCTGAAGTGCCAGGTGGGGAGCGAGCTCCCTTCCTTGCATGCCGTGGGTTTGGGGCTGATGCTACAACCTCAGGATCCCACCTGCCTCTGTGGACAGCGAGGTGGGTGAGCTCGCTGCTCAGGACCAGGTACATGGCACTGGCTCCACTGAAGCCGATGGAAGGGCATCCGTTGCCATCGTGTACGTTTCCGGGCAATCGGAGAGGCTGGGGCTGTCTGGGTAGATATTGCAGTGTATCATGCTTGTTTGTCCAGTGAGAGAAGTGAGTGGGAGAGGGCGACACGGGAGCATGGACCGTTGTGCTCACGCCTGCGCCGTGTCCCCTCCTCTCTCCCGCAGGCTCCAAGGACCCTTGCGCAGAGGTGACCTGCAGCTTCGGCAGCACGTGCGTCCGCTCCGCTGACGGCCAGTCGGCCAAGTGTGCCTGCCCGTCGTCCTGCAGCGGCGTGCCCGAGAGCACGGTGTGTGGCAGCGACGGCAAAGACTACCGCAGCGAGTGCCACCTCAACAAGCACGCCTGCGACAAGCAGGAGAACGTTTTTAAGAAGTTTGATGGCGCCTGTGGTGAGTCTCCTCATCCCCCCCGGGGCTATTGCTTTAAAAACCTTCCCCCCTTGCATGAGGAATATTGAGGGCAGACCAGCAGGAAAAGGAAAAGGGTTGGGGAGAAAAGCTTTGCCCACACGCCTGCTGTCATCAGCTCCAAAAGGCAGGCTGGGCAGAAAAAGGTCAGTCTGTGGGTGACAGCTCCTGAAACTCGGACCACGGTAGCGCTTCCCCCGCGGCATTTGGCTGTGGGTGTTTCTGCTCGGGACCCACTGACCTAGAGAGCAGTCGTAACATCTGTGCCACCTCCTTTCCCTCCTGCCAGTTCCCCCGGCTGCAGGTTTTGGCAAGAAGCCTGCTGCTTAGCCGGCATCCCAGGGCTCGCGGGCAGGCAGCTCCTGCCAACCCGACAGGCACCGATCCCAGAGCGCAAACACAGTCCTGCCGCTCCGAGGATGGCTTCCTCTTTGGTTAATGATGGCTGTGGATACTTGTAATTAAAGGCAACTGTATTCATTAGGAAAACGGTGAGAGCAGCCAGGACACGTGGCAGACCAGTGTTTGTCCCCGGGTGAAGGAGTGTGGGAGTGTGTTTGGGCAGGCTGCAAACCTGGAAGAGTTTTAATTGCCCTTTCACTGCTCGGTCCCAAGTAGGGCGAGATGGGTGCGAGCGCAAGATGCGAAAGAGGCGATGGCACGCGGGGTGCTTCTGGTTTCTAGGGCAGAGAGAGGAGGCTTTGAGCCTCACCGCTGCTTTGAGATCTTCCTGATTTTAGCTGGGCATCAGCAGCAACTCGGGTAGTTTGGGTTGAGCAGATGGGTTGTAGAACCTGACAATACTTGAAGGCATTTGGGCTCTGTTGGGTGTGCTGTGGGGCTTGAGGATGTATAGCAAGGTAGGGGAGAGAGTGGGGATGAGCAGTGCAGGCAGAGCACCTCATACATCCTCATCGTGCAGTCCCTGAGGTATGTCTGTGCGTGTGCCCCGTCCCCAACCCCTCTGACGCAGTCCCTATCTCCTCAGCTATACCACATCCTTGCCCCGCTACCGCAGCCTTATTTACCCTCCTTGAGCCCACACAAGATGTTCTGGTCATTGTGTTGGGGTTTGTAGAGGCCTCCAAGGAGGTGACACATCCCTGGCTGTGTGCTGGTGTGACTGCAGGGCAGCAGTGAGCATGGGCAGCTCTTGCTGGAGGGGGAATGGGAGATGGATTGGGTAGGTCCTGTGGGATCTCCTTAGTCTGCTTCGTTTCCATGATTACTGTGCGTGCTAACATGGACAAAGCAGAAGGCGTTGAATGTGACCCTGTCCTAGGCTGGCCTTCTCCACGGGATGTGGGGGCAGCCACAAGAGAGGCTCCTTGCCTGCTTGCGAGAGACTGGGCAAACAGGATACTGTACTGTTTCCTCCCCTTGTCAGCCTGGGCCTGAGGTCAATGCAGGACTAGTAGGATTAAAGGGTGGGAACATTCCATCATGTTTCTGCCATTGCAGACAATGAATCTGCACTCTCCAGGTACCATGCTTGACAAGGAAAAGAAGAACCCAAGGCTAGAGCAGGGATTATTAAACAGCACCTGCTTTGCCCATGTCTTTGGCATGCTAGTGTGAGCTCAGCACGTTAGGGAGGATGATGGATAAGCCTAGATTGGAGCTGTGGGGCAAGGCAGCGGGTGGCTCTGGCTGCCTTTGGGGCTTTTCCAGCACTTTGGGAAGACAGGGAGAGAGAGTGGGAGGAGCAGGATGGGAGTAGCAAGCATCTTGCAATGCCCAGTGAACACCCCTTGGACTCAAGAGGTTCACCTGGGTTGGGGGAGAGAGGCCTGTCCCCTCGAGAGAGGGGAGGGAAGGCAGCTCAGGATAGAAGAAAAGGCAGAGCTCGTCCCATCTGGGAGTCATTTTGGAAAGGGCACGTGTCCTCAGCATGTGCAGCTCAGTAGAAAACGGGTCCTTACGTGTGCAGAGCCCTACAGATGTCCAGTCCAGAGAGAGAGATGAGCACACGTTGAGTGCTACTGGGGAGGGTACAGGGGCTCCTGGGGCCAGCTGGGAGGGAGGAGGGCAGTCCAGGACGCACCTCTCTGAGCAGGGCGTGAGGGTGCCTAACCCTGTGCCCCGGCTCTGTGCGCAGACCCCTGTAAAGGCGTCCTCAGCGACATGAGTAGTGTTTGCCGGGTGAACCCCCGCACCCGAAGGGTGGACCTGCTCTCCCGCCCCGAGAACTGTCCCTCGAAGAGGGAGCCTGTGTGCGGCGACGACGGGGTGACTTACGACAACGAGTGCGTGATGGGGCGCTCGGGGGCCATCCGAGGACTGGAGATCCAGAAGGTGCGTTCAGGGCAGTGCCAGCATCAGGGTAAGTACCTCTGCTTCCCGGGGAACGGGAACAGTCGGGTTCCTGACCTTCCCACCCACACCGTGCCGTGCTCTTGGCAATGAGCGTGCACCCTCTTCCCCTACCCCCGGGGTGGGTGCAAGCGTTGCTATCCTCTCTCCTCGCAGACAAGTGCAAGGACGAGTGCAAGTTCAACGCCGTCTGCCTGAACCGCCGCGGCACCGCTCGCTGCTCCTGTGACCGCATCGCCTGCGATGGTGCCTACCGCCCCGTCTGCGCCCGGGACAGCCGCACCTACAGCAACGACTGCGAGCGCCAGAAAGCCGAGTGCCACCAGAAGGCTGCCATCCCAGTAAAGCACAGTGGACCCTGTGGTAAGCACTGGTGCCGCCGGGCTGGTCGCCCTGCAGGAAGGCTGGTACCCCCACACCTCTCGTTTCCCAGCCACTTTGAGCGCAGCCTGCATCATCTGTGCAGGCAGCAGCGCTCACGTTGATGCTGGAAAGCTGCAGGTAAGTCCCGACTGGGTGCCCACCGTCTGAGCAAGCCACAGGCTCTCCTCAGTCTTGTGCTCGACAAGCCCTGAATATCCACTCTTCCCTGTCCTTTTCCCTTCCAGCAGTCCTTCTGTGTGTGTGTGCATGTGTTCCTCCTTGGTCTTGTCTCTGTCTGACGTGCTCAGTAACCCGGGGAAGAATCGTTTGTGTTCAAACAGCACCGAGGTGTCTGTGATGTCCAGCCGGTTTCTCTCACTCACCGCCACGGCCAGGTGCACATTCGCCATCACGCAGTTCCCGTGCCGCCCACGCCATTCATTTCTCCTCCCAGGGTAGTGCCAGTCCCCATGCTCTTTCCATGCTTCCCTCTCCATGCCTGCCTGCTTCTCTCAGCTCCAGGTACGCTCCGTAAGGAACTCTTCCCAGCGTGCCCACTCTCTGGAGGTCTCGCCGTGCCTTTGTCTCATCTCTGGGAGCAGCTTTTGACCTTTCCAATGGACTTGTTTTCAGGAGTATATGATAGGATGGGGCTTTGGGTCCCCTAGGATGTTGGGAATGTTCAATTTCAAAATTATAGGACAGAAAATGAAGGTTAAACACAGTCACTGGATTGACTTGTAGGAGTTGGAAATACTGTTCATTTCAGCTCAAACTGCTTTTTTCCTAGATCTGGAAGTGTGTCCTGTTATTTTAAGCTGCTGTTTTCTAAGGCATCAGCTGTATCAAACCTTCTGAAGTACTTTGAAGTTAGCCCCCACGTTGCAGATCTGTTTTGTTGGCTTTGTGCTCCTGCAGTAGTTTTTTTTAATGCTGCCAGGCCCAGCTGCTTGAAAAGCAAAATCACACTCAGTATAATGACAACTGTTAATTGTCTGTTTCACTGTGTTTCTGGTGATCAATTGATGAGGAGTCAGCTCCCCAAATTCTCCCTATAGGGAGGGCAACAGAGGCACTGGAGCCACGGGAAGCTGATGCTGGCTGGCCACCAGCAAGCCGTGCCAGAAAGCCATGCACGCATGCCCTGTTGTGCTGGAGGAGTGACCGGCTCTGGGGCTGGGATGGGACTGCACAGAGCTGCTCCCGGCGAGGCAGGCTGCTGTGGGGCAGGGGAGGGACGAGGTGAAGCGAGGTGGGTTCCCAAGGCAGCTCTGGGGCAGTGGGGCCAGGTTGTTTGCAGCTGGATGGCTGAGCCCTGGTGCCCTGGGCTCTCAAAAAACCCTTCCCTGTACTTCCTCCAGAGTCAGGCCCTTGCCAAGTCTTCCCGAATTCCTGGAGCGAGCAGAGAACTCGTTACCTTGCTGTCAGAGCGCATCATTTCCACCACGTTCAGTGGAGCGAGGCCAGCGGACAGTAGGAAATGGTCCCTATGCATCTGCCATTCCCTTCTCCATCTTATTCTGTTATTTTAGCTTTCCCCCAACTTCTCCTCCTCCAGGTGAGGACAGCAGATGCCCACATCTGCTCTCAGCTGCGTCCTCGTGGGGTAGGAGCAAACAAAGCCCGTCATCTGGGGGAAGTAAATCAAAGCTGGGGCTCTGTCTGCCAAAGCCTGAGATTCCAGAGTCCACATGACAGCTCCAGGCTGCCCTGTAACAAGCCACCATGAGATGTGGGCAAGCCTTTGGCCTCCCCAAAGATTGGCATTTTCTCTCTGAGCTCAGCAGCGGCCTTTGGGAAGGAAGCACGTCCTCCTCTGTCACCAGTTCAGACTCAGTGTGTGGCGGGAAACAGGTTTAGAAAGGGGGACGTGGTGGGGAAGTTGTTTGCCAACCTGTGCGTCAAGGCAGGTTCTCTCAGCATGAACAGTGCTGGTGCCACTGGATTTGTTCCTGGCTGGCTTCCTGGCTGAGGCTTCCTTGGGATGCAGGGTGCAGCCCACCAGCACAGGCTGGGACAGGGCTCGTGGGACACACTCCAGTGGGTGAGAGTGGGGACTGAGGGAGCTGCAGGCTCGTTCTGCATCCAGCACCCAGGGTGGAGAGTCTGGTGAGTTCATCCATGCCCCTGTGCTGTGAGGATACAGGTGGTACACGGAGCTGAGGGAAGCGGAGGAAAAGAAAGACAGGCTGTGCGTATGGTCACAGCCTTTTAACCTCTCACATGTACCTGTCTAATGAACTCTAAACTCTGCTGCTGTCTTTTCCAGCAGCAAGGTAAAGGAGGCAAAGCCAAACAAAACAGCCCAGGCCTTGTTTTTAATCCTTCTCTGCTTCTATGCTGTGATGGGGCAGTTGAGAAAGAAGGGATGGGATGAGACCGATGTGGACAGGAGGTGGAGGGAGGGTGTTTGTAGTTGCATCTGTCTTTTCCTCCCCGCCTCTTTCTGCTATCTCTCCCCTGCTGTCTTTCTCCCTCCGCTCTCTCTCTCTTTCCTTTTTCGTCTGTGTCTTGTGTTTTACAGTGTTGCCTATTTGGAGGAAGGAATTGTGTCCTCGCAGCACCCTTCTGCTCCCTACCCGGACATCTCTGCTAGGAGGTCGGCTTTCTCCCCTTCTCCATAGCCAGGGACAGTCCTGGCCTCTTCTCACTGCTCCCCTCCTCTCTAGTTTTGCTTGAGAGCCCCTGGGATGGAGAGGTTGCCCCGGTTTTGCTCCCATCCCTCACTCCAAACACTTCCTGCTGGAATGGAAATGCCTTGCAGTGCAGTGGGGTCTTGTCCGATGCTTGCTGTGGCTTGACCCTTCGAGGCAAATGAGAGTGGGAGCAGAGGTGGGTGCTGTGAGCTCCCCAATCCTTAGCAAGCCCCTCTTCAGCTGATACACCAGTCTGGACTGCTCCTGGTTGATCTTACCTCTCCTTTTTCCCCCAACTAACCCCCCTTTCTTCCCCACCTCCTCTTTCCCAGAGACTTCTGCCTGCCTGGGACTGTGATGCTTGTCCCTTTGCTCTCCGCAGTGTGTGTCACGCTTGTCTGTGCAAGCCCAGTGGGCAGGGGCTCTGCAGGGATTGCAGCTCCCCTCCCCAGTGTCCAGCCAAGCACCGTGTGCCTTTGGGAAGCACTGAGGAGCTGTGCTGGGATGTGGTTCTTCTCTAAGAGCACTCCCCTGTGTCCCTGTGGCGCTGGTGCCGGAGCCCTCGGGGTGTCATGGGCACAGTTGGATGGGGCATGATGGGTTACAAGGCAGCTTCAGAGCCTCTTCCCAGTCCACAGGCAAAGCTTGCAGGAATGCTCACTGTCCCCAGGGCTTGGTTAGGTTACTGCACAGCTTGGCAGCAGGACAGGGATCGTGCCCTTGAATCAGCCAGGGTGCAGAATTTTTTGCTCTGTGCCTCGGCTTCCCTGCCTACAAGATGGAGAAGGGCCAGGAATCAAAGCAGGTCTTGATCACAGCACAGCCGAAGGTCCTCGTTATAGCCACCCACAAAATGCTCACTGTCCCCAGGGCTTGGTTAGGTTACTGCACAGCTTGGCAGCAGGACAGGGATCGTGCCCTTGAATCAGCCAGGGTGCAGAATTTTTTGCTCTGTGCCTCGGCTTCCCTGCCTACAAGATGGAGAAGGGCCAGGAATCAAAGCAGGTCTTGATCACAGCACAGCCGAAGGTCCTCGTTATAGCCACCCACAACAAAACCGGTGCCAAAACTCCCATTGACGTCTGCAGGTGCCCAGGGCGGTGTGGGAAATTTCACAGGTTGAGGTTCAGGCTGTGAAGGAACTTCATGTGCTGCAGCTCTACGGTTTGCTTGCTTAAGAAGGGCGAGAAATGTCAGGGCAGTGTTTGTCAGGCCCTGCACCTCCCTGCACTCTCACTCACTGCTCACTTGCTCCTCAAGACAAGAGTGTGAACTTGGATATCGAATGAACGATGCATTTGCTTCGTGCCCGGCTCGTTGCACCTTTACTGCCTAGTTGTGTCAAGCAGAAGTGCGTTCTCTGTGCAAGTGTTATGTCTCTTCTTGGGGGACGTAGTTTTAAAAAAGTGAAACGCAGGCAGGAACTGTGAGCAGCATCACAGGGCTGAGCACAGCAGGGAGCGGTTCCCAGTCCTTGGGAACTGCTCGTGAACTCTTTAGCTGCAGGGAGACTGGGACACAGTCGAAAAGGCTGTTTTGAAGTAGTGGCCGCGTGCCTGAACTGTCCTTGTTCCTTTGCTGTTGGCTGTAAGTTTTGACTCGGCAGGTGCTTCCCAAAGAGCCAAATCCAAAATTCAGACTTGCCTGGGCTGTTTTCTCAGGGATTGACAGCACGCAGCCAGAATCCTGAGGGTTCAAACCTTGCTCTTGCTCCACAGATACCCCCACCTTGGTTGTAGGGGAGGAGAACGGAGCTGCTGCCCCTGCCCGCAATCTGTGCCATGCCAGCGGGATCCAGAGGGCTCAGTCTTTCCCACCGCACTCCGACTCTGTGCTTGCCTCGCTGTTTCATGGTGGTGGGGCTGCCCTGTGTCTGCCTGTTGCATCCATCTCGCCTTGGCCGCATTGTGTGTTCCTGACATTGTTTTGTCACGTGTCCTTGTCAGCATGGATTAAATCTGTGTCCTTTCCTTGCCCCAGGTCCTCAGGGCTCCTCTCCTGAGTCACAAGAAGGGGTCGCTGGGCAATGCTGGGTCTCTCCCCAGCAGCACAGCCGGTGGGGCTGCCCTGTGTCTGCCTGTTGCATCCATCTCGCCTTGGCCGCATTGTGTGTTCCTGACATTGTTTTGTCACGTGTCCTTGTCAGCATGGATTAAATCTGTGTCCTTTCCTTGCCCCAGGTCCTCAGGGCTCCTCTCCTGAGTCACAAGAAGGGGTCGCTGGGCAATGCTGGGTCTCTCCCCAGCAGCACAGCCTGCCTTTT